ATAATTTTTTCAAATCTTTTATTTTCAACTTTTCGATATGCTCGCACCCCTGTTAGGATTATCACGTCCCCCGAGGGGGCGCGCCCCACAGTTTGAGAAACGCTAGTTTACAAGACATCAAGTTCCTTCTAACTACAAAATAATTCATTTTACGGAATATTCCCAATATATTCTTTCTCACTCACATTTTATCAGAAACATAGTTATAACATTCAACAATAAATGAAATTATGAAAGATAGTGCAAATACTCGTAGACTTGCTGTATGTAGTTGCTTTGTATGTGTCACAATGAAGGATTTCTGTAAGAAAAGAAACCAAATGTTGATCATCACGTTATACAATAACAATACAGCACTGGATTTTGAGACAACTATTTCATATATATTTGAAAGCTCATCCGCGCGGCGCGTAATCATTTAAAGTTTGATTTAATGAGTAACTTATTTTAGCTTTATGAATCATCATATCATCTTAAGAAAATGCAGTATCTTCAGGATGACTGACAACTCATAAGTTTCAATTCGCCAACTGTGGAAAGCTAACAGATAAGGTCTCTTTAGAGTGAATTATGTCAGTGTTGGGGGAAAAGTCTTCTAGTAAAACACATCAAACACGTAGATCACAAAGCAACTATAAAAAATCCTTCAGATGGAAAATAGTACAAACTTACAATAGAAGGGAAAACTTGTAAAATTATTTTATTTTAACAAGTTAAGCACTGCTTATTTTACAACATATGTGCGAGCCCCCCCCCTGGGTTCCACCCTGGACACCAAGATTAATTTGAGGCAAAGAATCACTAAGAGCCATTTTGTATAGTAATAACTTGTATTTATTATATCAATTCAAATATCAGAAACTCTAATAACATATAATATTTCTATGTTACGTCAAACAAAAGGGATTTACCTTTAATATTAAATTAAATTACGAAGTATGAAATTAATTAATAATTACGCGCAAGATCAAATAAGGTCTTCCGAAATAGGAGGTCCGAGAAATACACCTAACTCGAATTATTAGCTTTCATTAACTTTAACTAATTTTATTAAACTAACGCTTATTTTAAGCGTAAATAAAATAGAGTATATCACCTGCTATATTAGCTTTCCAGATTTTTTCATACAATAACAGTAATAAGGCTTCACTAACGTAATCTCATGTAATCCTCTAAATTTGAGGCTACTGCTGCTGGCTCAATAGCCTTCATACTTGCTAGCTTACAACGCTCTACTTAAATACCCTATCTACTTTGCATATCCCGTTCCCTTTTTGCAGTTGATTGGAAATATATATATACGCGAATTTATAATCCCCAAAAAGACGCCTAAGAATATTAGTGGAAAGGTTCCGTACAGATTCGTCACACATATATATATATATATATATATATACATACATAGTTTTCAAATAAATCACAGCACATTTTTTCTCTAATAAAGTATTATACTTAACTGCTTTTTCTGGAAAACACATTTAATTTAAAAATTTCAAATACATTCATCACCACACGGGATGAAAAATTGCTGTCAAACTATTCGTAATGTTACGGTAAGCACCAAAAATGTATTTTCTTGAGACTTTCTCAATCTTATTTCAATTAGATGAAAAGCAGTTCACAGATGTATTTGCCACCTTATATCAATCTAATGGTCTGGTAATTGTATCCGTAGCTTACCCAGACGAAAGTAAAGAAGCTTTTCGCCACTTGGACGAACAGGGCCAGGTCCGTTCAATATCATAATGAGGCTTCGGGACAGAAGAAGAAAAAAGGGCTACTATCGTTTACCGTCCACTGTCCACCCCCTTCCTAGCACGGGTCCCGGTCAGCTGGTCGGAAGATGGCTATGACAGGCGGTCGGGGCTATCGCCGAAGCTAACTAATGACCGTCCCTATCTCAGCCTTAATAACTGGGGTGCCTATCGTAGGAGGACCGTGTATGTAGGGAAATGGTGACCAAAAATTGGCTACATCAGCCGGGAAGGGTAGCGTCGTTATCGGACTGCCTCAGTCACCGTCACGCTCGCTTAATTACACCAGGGGTCTCTTCGGAATGGACTCTTTACGTTGACCTTAATGCAAGGAAGTGAGATAAAGAAAAACTGCCCAGACGCAAAGAGGAAATACTAGTCAAAAATTCTTCCAGGAAAACTTATTATTTATTTTTCCAAAGGCAAACAATGGGACTTCTTAAGCAAGTTTACTACGGAGGAAGTAAACTGCAAAAAGAAAAGTGAAAATAAGTTTTTATGCCCTAGAAAAAGTGAAAAACCTATCACGAAAAATATTTAATATACACTCATGGTAAAGGCCCTTGAGGAAAAGGATTGATTAAAGAAGGAAATGTAACCAGTTCTTCCAAAATGTTTTTCAAAAACAAAACAAAAAAATGTCGAAATCGCCAGAAAAAAATACTATTAAACTAGTCAAGTCAAAACATATTTTAAGTTCTTATATCTTTGAATGAAATCGTTTTGTTATACATTAAAATAAACGATTCAAAAAAATTTTGCTGAATAAAATTAATGGTAGAAAGTTATATGCTCTGTAAAGACAGATTAATGAGACAAAAAAATCGATCAGAATGCATATAGAGGATTTAATTAAAAGTTCAGTGAGAATTATTCCTGTAAATGAAATTCCAAAATTGTATACAGAAAAATAACTATACACAATCCCGTTTCAAAAGTCTAATTTTCCATGCCAGTTTTTAAATTCTTTGAGCACCACATGCAAATAGCTGAAATTAGTGCTATGAAACAATATCATTCAGTTCTTGAAAGATTTACTTCTATTTACATGAACATAATAAGGAAGAGGATAATGGTGTGCAATATCTCTTCCAAGAGCACCCAAACGTGCTTTATGGGATTTAGGTCCTGCGAATTCGCAGGACAAATAATATGGAAAATGTTCTCTTCGTTCAGATAATCACCGGTAAATTCAGCTCTGTCTAGTTAGGTGCTTACAAAAACGAAATGGGAACCGACAGATCCTTGGAAAAGAAGTAAATAAGGTTTTGGAATCTCATCCCTATAACACAAAACTGTCATTTTACCGACAGGCAAGATGTATACTGGTGCACAGCCATTAAAAATGATCCACCTCACACAAGGATGCCACTTCCACCAAAACGGCGGATTTCTTGAAAACTTGTGAGCTGAATAACGACTTGTAATTTAAGAGGATACGAACTCAATTTTGCTGTGTCTAAGAATGGTGCTTCAGATTTTGTGACATTTCTATAGAGCGACACACATCACTGGTCGCTAGGCATAAAGAGCGCTTTAACAAATAGCCCTCTGTTGGAACCCAATTCGTTTTTTTGAACAATAACAGTCGATCCCACAGAACAGCCTTGTCGATGATTCTATGAAGGAAGAGAATATTCTCAGCATGATGTGACCTGCGAGATCACCAGGCCTCAATCCTATAAAGCACATTTGGATGCCTTTGAAAGATCTTTTTCTCGCCGTCAACCCCTTTCCAGAAAACTTCAGGCATAAAATAGTAGATTGGTATGAAAATAAAAACAATTCATTAAATGAAACTATATTTTCATTTATTTGTGTGTGTGTGGATGCCTATTTAAAAATCGCAAGAGCGTTATTATGATTCTAATATCATTTTTTAAAAAATAGAAATTCATTCTTAATATTACTTAGCTTGGAGCCATTAAGTGGGATCCATCCTCGTATGATTGAATACTGAAAAGGGAAAAAATGATAGTTCTTAAAGACCATATAAGTCTCGCTATTTACAACCCTTCTTTTCTATCTTCCGTCCATTTCGCATTTGGATTTGGTGAATGCCAATAGGCTCAGAATCTGTTGCTAGACCAGATCTGTTGCAGAACGTGTTCCATTGTAACATAGCAAAGTACTTTTTTTGGTGTAAATACAGCAAATAACTAAAATTTTCTCAGCAAACATCGAATGCATTTACCAATAATACAAGAAACCAGAAAAAGTAATAACTTATTCTTAAAAAATTCATAACAGTCGGATTTCGAAAAAAATTTTGAAATTGTTTGTAATAAAATAAAAACATATATATATTCCCCGAGCAACTTGCAATCGGAGAGAGATTTCAACCAAACCAAAAATAAATGACAAACTAACGAAATTATTTTTTAAAAAAATCTATTAATAATTTAATTTTTATTCAGTTTAAATATTTAGTCTCAATTATATTCCATTCCAACTAAATGGTTTGAAAAAAATGAAAAAAAAAAAATTAAGATTTATCATCATCATCATATCCAGCAAGACAGCCCCTCTTGGGCCAGTGCCTTCCTTTGAAGTTTTCTGTGACCTCTCATTCACCTTCGGTTCTCCAAGTTTCTCATTCATAATCCTAAAGTCTAATTTCACTGAGTCTGTCCATCTCAGCCTAGGTCTTCCACGCTTCCGAATCCCAGTGACTTTGAACTGCAGTATCTTTTAGACAACATTAACATCGGGCATTAGAATTATATGGGCCATCCATTTCATTCCATTTATTTTTATGTGTTTCATGATGTCAGGTTTGTTTATAAAATTTTACATAATTCAAATAATATGATATAAATTCTATATAATTTTACATAAATTATATAATTCAATAAAAAAGTAATACAGATTTATAGTTTTTTTACTTAAACTGAAGTTATTCTTTTTCAACTCTTATTATTAGTTCACACTCTCCATATATATATATATATATATATATATATATATATATATATATATATATATATATATATATATATATATATATATATATATATATATATATATATATACATAAATTGTTCAAATTTTTAATCGTTAATAGAATACTTTTTATTCATCCACTCAAGCTCAAATGCATTTTTTTAACTTGTAATGGATGACACTTGATGTTAATACAGTTTTTTCAAATATTAATTCATTAATATTTAAATAATTAATGAACAATTAGTAACAAACAAAAATAATAGTCCAACACAAAAAATAAAAAGAAAAATCACTCGTAGTGTCCCTGTAGAGCAATGGATAGCGTGCTGGACTTCTAATCCAAAGGTTGTGGGTTCAAGTCCCACCTGGGATGGCCTAATACCTGAGAATGGGATTCCTTTTTACTATTCTATTTTAATGGAATAATTAAATTTAATTAATGAATAAATAGTAACAAACAGAAATAATAGTCCAACACCCTATATAGAAAGGAAAATGGAAAACTGCAAGGAAAATCGCTTTCCATTTTGTCATTTAATATTGCGATTCTGTTAAACGTATATTTATATTAATTGTAACTTTTTAATAAAAAGTAACTAAAATAAATTTTTTCTTTGTTGACCTAAGTAGGAAAAGACTGAAATTTTTTCATATATTACTTGTTTAATTGAATATAGAAATATTAACTAGTTCAGTTTTATATATGTGAAGCGGTAGCATAGTTCTGAAACTCTTAGTTAGAATTCAAAAGCAAGCCCTAGCTTGTATGTGTACCACCCATGAAATGAGATTCCGTTACTCGTTCAACGATGTCATATTTGAACAATATTCGGCAGATGAGTACGTTTAACTTGATTGACATCGATCTCGAAAGTGGGGAGCAAAAAATGGGTTTAGGCACATGCACCAGGGGAAGGGGAGAGAGAAAAAAAGGTGAGCTGAATAAAAAAAACATTCCTCCACCATCCAATTTTTTCCATTCCCTTTGGCTACCAAAGCGCATAAAATACACGAATGTCACGGTAGGGAACCTAATGTTCAACGAGGCCAAAAAATTCTCATCACGGAGACCAATATTCATATCACTGTGACGCGAGGATAACTAATAGTTCTTGGATCCGCCCACCGATCCAACATCACCACACACAGTAGCAGTTAACGAACGATACGTTTCGAAGCACATCTACATAAAAGAAATCACTATTTGACCATTCGGTAATACATACACTTTTTTTTCTCTCTCCCGAAAAGTCATTTGTTCCCTCCCCGGGGAATGTTTCCGATCGGTGCAATTGGTTTGCTGGTCTCGCCTTTTTTTTCTTCCCTTTTCTCCCTCTCCCTCTCTCCAGCAGTCTCTCTTGTTTTTGTATTATTAATATTACTGTGATTATCCCCGTCCGCTCGAGGCGAAAAGGAATATGGAACTATTCTTTTAAATCAAATTATGCCCGTTTTGGGAAGGGAAATGAAAATGAGCCTCATGCTATCAGATATGGCAAGCAGCCATAGGTAAGTGAGAAATGTTACCTATTTCGAAGGGGAAAGCAAAAGAAAAACAATTCAACAAATACATCCATTGCAATAAATAGTGCATAATAAGTTATTGAATAACTCATGTGGTGTATCTCTAAAAAGGATAGTCAAACAAAGAAGAAGAAATAATTTGCTCACACGACTTATGACGATGTGGGTTTTACATATCGGAACCATTAGCGTGTTCATGCTATTTTCGGATAATGAGAATACTGATAGGGAACGAATGTATTCAATTATTCCAAATGATGGTTAAGATGGTTAAACGATAGTCGTGGTTACAAATTAATGAAGTATGAACTTGCGAAGATCTTGTGAATATACATATTTTTTCCTCCTCTAATGGAGCTGCGGATTGATATTTTTACCTTTGCAGACCTAATACATTCCCCAGGATCTGGCATCACTTTTTTAGTGCGGCACCATATAGGCGATACCAATTGCCGCAAGTAATTTTGACGCCAAGTTTCCTTCCCAGAGGGAGGCTCTTGAGCTCTGATGATGGGAAATTGTACATAAGAATTTAATTTTGCCTAGAGAATCCAAGCCAAGCGAACACTCAAGGGATTTTTTACATGCCACATAATCATACGACATAGACATTATCGATTTTCTGCATGAAAATCCTCCGACTTGGGCCAAAGTCGAACCCGCAACCTTGGGTGCAGAAGGCCAGCGACAAACCAACTACATCAACCCGGCGGCATATATACATATATATGAGTAAAATTCGCTTTAACTTTTTCTCGAGGAATCATAAATCATAATGATCTTGAGCCTTCCAAGACTTCACGTGATAATTAATTTTTATTTTACCCACCGAACGAGAGATCATCACAACCTTAATTCCCATAACACTGAAGGAGGTAGCGCTTTTAAAACAGGATGATGCAATCCTGCATCATCCGCGTATTTTGACCAATCAGAGAAATCTCTACCGGAGTTCATATGATTCTAACAGCTTTCGGTAGCCAAGAAAAGTTAAATCTCGGGAAAGAAAAAGAAAATGTCCTTGCGTGTTTTTCTTTCTCTCACTGTCATGTCCATATCTCTGCTTGTTCTGTTTTTCATGATGCCACTTTACCTGTGTTAAGTCAATAAAAGTGATTATAAAATAGCAACATGTTTCCTCTTCAATCCATTGCAACAATGAAATTAATTGATTTTGCCAGCAAAATGACCTAATTAAAATGAAATCTTTTCATATATATATATATATATATATATATATATATATATATATATATATATATATATATATATATATATATATATATATATATAGTACTAACTGTCTAAATAAATTAAATTAAAAACATACTGAATATCCATTCCATTTTTCGTCTGTATTATAATATATTTCAACTCATAAGTAACTATGATAGAAGCAATCATTTTTCTGGATCCGAACAAAAAACAGCTATTTTTCCCTGATGTGTACAATGGAATTTATCGAAAAATTAGCAATCTTAAAATTTCATATATATCATACTCTTTTTTTAAGTAAAAGTAAGATAAATATTTTAGGTACTTGCAGAAACATACCTTTCCAACTGATATTTTTTTGAATAAAATATTCTTAGAAAATATTGAATGAATAATACACCTAAATTCCAAGCTCATTTGAAATTCCTGAAGTTTGAATTACCTTATTTTAATTCTAACAAAAAGCTTTCACTCCACACAATTGAATATAACTAAAGACTGAATAGAGAATCTATTACAATGCATTTTGATATTTCAAAACTTAACTTACATCGCTTCGATATTGAAGCAACTATAATATTTTTATAGTAGAGGAAAAATACAATATTTGCCACTTATTAGAAAAAAATCATTTTTATGGCAGATTTTAGCTCATAATTTTTTTAAAAAATATAATGTATGTATCAGACTTTGTTCTCATGCACATGACTGATATATTTTTTTAATTTTAACTTTAATGACGATCCAATATCAAACAATGTATATACCATAAGAGGTCCCCTATAGTACCTGAACAGTTCAATCTCGAAGCATTATCTCTTTCTCCATATTCCGAAGATACTTTAACAATGTATTAACCCCATCGTTCTCTCTCTCTATGGATCAGGTGAAGCAAGGTAGGGCGGGAGAGAGGGACAGGCTAGCGGACGAACAGGGGCCGACCAGCAGTTTGTAATCAAGACAGATGGGGCCCAGTCTTATCTCTTGGATGCACGGGGCCTCCTCGAGAAGAGCCGCAATGTTTCAAATCATCATCTGACGCGGGAAGGAGCGATGGCGACTAATGGCCCCTTGCTTCGCTTCTTCATTTTTTTCTATCTCCCCTTTCCCAAGATTTCTCCCTTCCTCCAACCCTCTTCAGTCTTTTAGCCCAGGCGTTAATTCGGCCAACCTGTTTTCGGGAAACTGCCGATAACGTTGGTCTTCCTGAGAGAACCCGATAAAGTATAAAAATACTCTTCCCCTAGTAAGGAATGTGCGAGCTAACACCAGCGCTTTTGAAATTATAGTTGACACCCCCAGGGCTAATAGCCACGTCCTCCAAAATAGCATTTCTGTCTTAAGCCGACTTCCGACAGAATGATGCAGGATACCCTTCCCCTTTCCCGTCTTTGGCTCCTTTAATACGGATTTCCTGACACGGCGGGTGTCCGAGAAAGAAAGAAAACATCAACCAGGAGGAACTAAACGGCTGCCGTTAAGAACGCATTTATTTTAAAAACACCAAACTCTTGAAGTCGAAACAACTGAATCTGTATATTATTTTTTACTCCTGCAGACAAACGTTAAGATCAAAGAAATATTTTGAAAATGCAATTCTTTCTTTTTAAATAAGTAGCGATTGCAAGCAAATATTCAGCAAGCTTTTTGTACTTGATTATATAAAAATTGTTTTAATAAAAGCAAACACATCTTAAAGTAAATTATTTGTTATAAAATTTGTATCCCAGCTGCAGCACGACTGAGATTATTTGAGTCCTCTATACGTAAAGATACAAAATTTACAATCACAAATGAAATTTTTCTTAGAGAAATTCACAAAAATTTTATCTTATGCTAGATTATAAATTCAAAAAAATAAATAAATAAATATTGTACATTAATACAAAATGAAGTTTTAAATTTTTAATCTGTAAACTAATTTTTATATTAAAAAAGGAAGAGATACATAAACATATGCGCAAGTGCATATAAGCTCAGTATATAGTCAACATTTCAGATACTCGCATGGTTATGATAAGCAGTATATTACGATAAAGTGGAATGTTATTTAAATGCATTTCTTCGGTAATTATTATCAAAATGAACAAAAAGACAGAAATTGTTTTAATATTACATAAGCTAACGGTACATGAATTTTTTGTAAGCAAAATAATATATCGACTAAAAATATCTATTCAAAAAGTTCTTTTTTGTTCCATTTTAATAACGAATTAAAATTAAAAGAAATTTTTACATATTTTTTTTAAAAAAACACACCAGCCATTATTTAAATCCACAAAATATATTTTAAAGATCTGGGAAGACCTTCAAATTAAACAGTGATATTAAATTCCAAGTACTTACACAAAAAGTACACAAGGAATTCATTAGCAATATGTTGAAAGAAGTTATTATAGTAGCGTAGATATGAGAAGACTGGAAGCATTAAGTAAGGAAAAACGTAACCTAACGTAAGAAAGAAATCAGTCCTTTTAGTACAAATGCTTGTCCAAATATGAATGAATAGAAATGTATTAACGAAAATAGCAATAGAAATGCATAAAATAATGAAAGCAATCAAAGGATATCATACCCAAATATTAGTGTGTTTCAAAATAGCATGTTTTCAAAATCAAATGGAAAAGAAACGTT